GTTTGCTGCCTTGCACTAATCAGTACCGCGCGCTGAGTGAAAACTCTATCTGCACATCTTTAAATTAAACCAAACCACACACACGCACACACAAAAATCTTTTCAGTCTACCCCGTGGGTTTTTGCCTTGCTGCATGTGCAGAGGTTCTTATTGATGTGGGATCCATGCAGCAGAAGAAACTCCTTAAATATGCATCAGGACTAGTAATTTTTCCCTGTCGCCTGCAGCATGGGTTTAGATGATACGATCATGAAAAAGGGAATGATTTCCTGTCCTGTACAATTTAATTTTATGAATGGAGCCATATAACACAGCATAGTAGCTTTAAAAAACACCATAAAAGACATGACAGGAGAAACCAAGTCGTACACTGCTCCGCCATATGGAAAACAAAGCTAACGTATATGGTTTGGCTTCCTTGTTTGCTCTCTCATTGTTCCTTGATGGTGACTCTTGCGTTATGATTTTCAGAAGCCCATAGCACAGAATGGTTTATGATGTTTACTTAGCATATAGGACAATAGATGGAAAAGTGCCATAATTTGTGACGCTGACTGCAAAATAAACCTATCATCATTCACACAGAGCACTGTTCCTTTGGATAAACAGCCACGTTGTTGGTTGGCAGGAACAGGCTGTCGCCTCCTGGGTCCTCGCTGGAGCTGCACATCTTCGGGCCTCACGCCACTGGCGTTTGAGCAGAGCTGCCTTTTGACTCCAGTGGGGCAGCGCTGGCACTGCACAAGCTCTTTGTCCTTATTTAGATAAAATAAGGATCCCTGAAAGGCTTCCTGACACACACACAAAAAAAAACCCTCATGCGGCGCCTCACAATAACTGCCGACATGGGAAAGTTGCAGGGAGGCCCCAACCAAGAGTTTGGATGTAAATATCTTGAGCCTGGGGGCAGTTCAGATATGGAGCCAGGTCCATGTTGTGTCCTGGTCCCCAGGCATCCCAGAATTGATTCACCAAGGTAAGAAGTTTGCTCATCCTCACATAAATGTATGCTGCCATCTTTAGTGCGTTGAGGTGGGTTGGAGCTCACACTGACTGGACTACCTGGTGCTTTTCTCATGAGACTTTGGGTGAGGCCTCCTCCAAACACCAGAGGCAGCAGTTAGGGGACTGAACTGTGCGTGTATCTGAGGAAGTGTGACCAGAAATTTTTGCATGTACTCAAAGTATCAAGTCCTAGAAGACAGCATGGGAAGAGGCCTTGCAAGGGTGTTAATTTATCTTCATCCAGGGTCTACAAGGTCAGACCTAATCCATTCCTGGCATGTGCATATTGAACCTCTTCTTGACACTCCTTAATGATGGAGGTACCACAGCTTCCCTCAGCAACCTCTTCCAGCCTTTCCCTATCTTCCCTTTGAGCAGTTTTCCCTGTAATGTCTAACATTATCCCCCCCTTGCTGCAACTCTAAACAAGACCACTTTCTCTCTCCCGTAGATGACACAAAGCTCTATAACCTCCCTCTACTCATTCATGTGTTCGTGGACTACAAGTGTGTGCCTTTTCTAGGCTGAACAAACCCACTCATTTTCAGCCATTTCTTATGTAATATGTTTTCTAGATTTCTGACCCAAGTTTTCTGGCTGCTACTCTCCTCTGGCTCTGAGCTGCTCCATGCTTTTCTCAGAGACCTCCCTCCAAGTCTGCCTATCCCTGGACTTGATCAGCTCTGATCAAAAGTTGGTTATGGAGCCATCTTTGTGGTTTTGAGTTGAACTGCATCCAAAGCAAACAAATCCCATGATACTTTTTCCCATTGGTCTCGTGGGATGTGGCAGTTTTGAAGCAGCAGCAGAAAATAAACACAGTGGAGGCCTTCCTGGTAGTGAGCAGTGGGACAGGCTTAGCTCATGTGTCTTGCATAAGACACCCTGGCTTGTTAATTTGAGCATGATGCTGAGCGTTTCTCTTTGACATGTTACACCGGTTTTTGATCAATCAGGAACAGTGGAATAGAAGAGAGGGAGGGACAGTACAAAAGTTGAACTTTGCCCACAGCCTTACTGAAATAACAGCCCTCCTGGTTTGCTTCGTCACACATCATCCAGCTCATGAGCAATGATTTGCCAGGCTCCAGACAAATTTTTGCAAAACCCCATTCAGCATGTCCTGTTTGAAATGGATCCACTGGTGTCCACCCTGGAAGTGGTTTTGCAAGTGTTTGCAGCACGAATAGTACAACAGCTTATCAGTCAAACTGCCTGCACACGCACAGCTGATAAGGACCAGACAGCGTGGGTTTATCACATCTCATGTCAAATCAGTCTAGATTTTTTCATAACAGGGAAATAAGTTTTTGTGGACAATGAAGCTGCAGTTCGGGTGTTTTATCTGGACTTCGGCATCAGCCCATGTGATGTTCCCACAAACAATAGTTTAGTCGATACCAGTTAGGCTGTACTGTTTCACTGGGTGTGGAGAGAAATGGAGCTAAGCTGATGGCTTTATAAAACCCATGCTGAGAAAAACAGGCATTGTTAGCCTCTTCCAGGCCTCTATTGTATTATTATTTTTCAAAGAGTCTGTCTTCTGAGAGTAGGAACTTTCTAGCTGCAGGTCTGTAATAAATAAATAAATAAATAAAATAATAACACCTCTGATAAAATAACCAGGAAAGTTTCCACTAAGAGCATGTCATTATGTCAACTCTGTTCAGCGGAGAAGCATTGCATTCAGTAAATATATATTCGGGAGCTACTTTGTGATCATTGACATTTGACATTGTTCTTACATCTCTCCCTATTAGCATGTTTCTGTTTGGAGTGTACTTGACCTATTTCAGAAATATTCCTCATCTTTTCCCATTATTTACTGAGCAGCAATAACCCTGGGAAGAACCACTGCATTTTACAGGCTGCAAAGTTTCATGGAAACAAGAGGCCCCTCTTGTGCCGCTTAAGTATCTCATCTGTGAAGGTAAATATATTCCTGGATTTAATTAGGAGTTGTAGTATTAATATTTATGCAGATAAAAGTAGGTGAGGAGGCAGGGGAAAGAAGAGGGAGCAAAAAAGACTCATTCATCATGAAGAATGCTGCAGCCAGATCTCTGTGATCTCCTGCATGGAGAAACCATTTCACTCCTTGCTCCTAATGGAGGGCTCAGCATAAGTCAGGGTCCAAAAGCATGGCTTGCAGCAAAAGCTTGTTTTGATTTGTTTTCAAATGATATTTTTCATGCAGAAATAAATGTGAAGGCAAAACGACAGTGTTTTGAACACAGATCATCTAGGGAGAATGGAGAAGGGTATTTCCGATACTGGAGGAACAGGAGAGATCTGATCCATTCTAATCTATCTTGTGATGGGTATGATGTTTATGTGCTGCAATACTTTTCAGGATATTAGTATTTTTTGGGTCATTAATTGAGATGAAAAGTCAAAATCATCTATTATTCTGTGTCTAATAATGGAAAATAAAGATTCAGCCATAATGCTTGGTTTTCAGATTTTGAAGCTGTGCTTTCCTGATGCAGTTTTCAGATACCCATTCATCTGAATTATTTTGAGGTGGAACATATTGCCAGTTTTCAAATTTCTCACACACAGGGAAAAAAAAAAAAAAGACTCAAAGATTTGAGTCTGGATCAGCCACCGCCACCAAAACCCAGAGACCATTCAGGTCTTTCTGACCTTGTGTTTTCACAAGCAGGACAGGTAGTGGGAACCTCCCAGCTCAGACCTGTCCTGGTTTGTTCTCATTCTGATCTGGCACCCCCAGTACAAAGTGGGAGCAACCTGACTGGGAAAGGTTCAGAGATACATAAAACAAGGGATCTCAGCATCCACCGTTCATGAGTGGTGTCATTGTGAGCCTAAATATGAGCATGAAGAGTTCAAAGGTGGCACCTCCCATATTCCTGTAGTGTGTGATGGAGAGTCCTGGCACATCAGAAGTTAGAGATCACTTGAGAGCACAAAGCTGTGTCAAAGGCAACAAGGAAAATGTGCACTTTCTCACTCAAGGAGCAGTTCACCTCTTTGTTCTGTCTTTTGTGCCCAGGCTGCACCTGGCCCTCTTTGATTTTAATTATCAGGTACACTTCCCTGGGGGGGCTTGGGGCTAGCAGTGTTAGAAAGCATCACCTTCCCTTCAGGCACAGCTTCGGCTCTTTGTTCTGCTCTCATAGGGTAATTGGATGCTAATAAATCAGCTCTCTGGTTCACAATATTTAAAATGCTTCTAGTGACTGGAAAAAAAATACACTCTTGTCTCTTTAATCCTTTCCTTGGTTTGCGATGTGTGTTTCTTCCATTCTTTCTGTTAAGACTCCGTTCTGGTGATCAGCTTTTGCTCCTGCGCAATTCAGTTACTTTTCTTTGGATACAGAAGTAAAAGGAGAAAGAAGGCTTTAGACCTTCTCTTCTGATTTCTGTTCCCCCAGGGAAGTCGCTGACACCCAGCATGATGCCATGAATCCTCCCCACACCAAGGTCCTATGTGACCGATGTAGGACGCTGGAGACAGCCAGCAGCTCTGCGCAAGTTCCAAGCCACGTGCCTGCCAAATGGCACGGGGCGTCCTTCCATCACGTGTCAGGACACCGGGCACATTGCACAACTGTCCACCCCCTCCTGCCCGCCAACTTAGGGGGTGCAGCCACTAAATTGCAAGAGAATAAGCCATAATCTCTTCCTACGCTCCGCAAAATCTGATGTGAATAGAGTCACCTGCCTCGGGCAGTGAGTGTAGCTGGGGGGAGTTTTGTCCACCCTTAAGAATAGACTGAGCCAGGATGATCCAGATCTCAGAGGGGGCAGCCTTGAATCCACGGGAATGGCAGAATCCGGCCATAAATAGTGTGCACCACAAAGACACACAGGGAAAAAAGAAAAAAAAAAAAAAAAACAACACTTAGCAACAACAGCAACAGTTGCCACTGCAATTATTCCAGCAAATGACAGTAATTTGTGCTGACCACACTGTGGTCTGCCTATAGCTTGCCAACTTGTTCCTGCTCCAGCCATTAATATCAGTTTATTTTGCACACAAAGAAAATAGTTTTCATTTAAAGCTCTCTGCGCACTTTGTGAGTCATTAATGAAGTCTCATGGTATCTATGACCTAAAAAGAGCACTGTGAGCTACTTTTTCTTGAGCAAGAACCATGATCTGCTGGTTGTCTGATGAACTCGTTTATCACTTTTTGTCCTTCATACTTGTGGCCCCGCTCTCTGGAATAACAAGAGCTTGGCTTGAGGAATGGGCATGAAATGTGGTTGTGTTTAAAATTTGTTTATTTTCATTGTTTTTCTTTAGCTTTGTTCTTGGAGCTTGTACAATAAAGGCAAATAATTTAAAGGACACAGAGGGCTGGAGTTTGGTTTTATGCAGAGTGTGGGAGGCTGACAGAAAAGCTATAGCCAAGCGAAGGGACCGCATTCGGCGGGGCTGAGGTGAACTGAAGTATTTAAAGACTCTGGAGGATGTTGACTTGGAATAACTTCCATCTTCCCTCTCAGCTTGTAACTCACACCCAGCTCACACCCAGGCTGAACTCACACCCAGCTACTGCTGGGGAAGTGACACCTCTTAAGTCATCAGCTGCAAAATGGGCTCGAGCGGCCAAAATGAGCACAAGTTGGGCAAACTCACCTGTCGAGTCATGTGGCCAGAAAGCAGCGAGGAAGAGGCACTAAGCCCCTATGAATCACTGCTAATCACTCTCTCCAGCTAATTGACACATTCCTAAAATTCCTCCCAAGCTTCCTGGCAGCCTGAGCTCCATCACTTTCTTCAGCCGTCAGCCAAAGGAAAGGCACATAGTGGTGTCAGAAAGACTCTTTTCTTGTAAATAAACAGACACTAGTGCTGCATGTGACAGCTCCAAGGCTGGCATGAAAGTAGCCTTATCCCTGATGGCAATTGTGAGACTTGGAGGTGTTCCTCTGCTCCCCCAGCTGCTCCTTCCCAGCCCACTTGTACAGCTGGTGCAAGGCACACAAACCCCAGCAACCCACACAGGAAAGATCCCAGGGAAGCATCAGTCTCACTCTCTACCCAACCAACAGTGCAGCCAGGGAGGCACAGACAAAGCCCTTTGCATCGTAAAGTTGGTCCCCAAAAGCCAAGATGCTTCTCAGGTGGCTTCTGCTGAGGCCGTGGTACAGCACTTTGACTGCAGGTGGCTTCCAAGCTGCTTATTGATGAGGACTTTGTACCATTGCACACACTGCTGGCATTTGGCTCAACTTGTCTCACCTGTAGGAGTGGTTAAAAGAAAGGTGATGACCAGCAAGAGCAAGGAGTGTGCTTAGTTCCGTGTAGGCAGCATGAAACCTTTGCTGCAGAGCTGCAAAAGGCCACATCTTCTGGGGAAGGAGTCATCTTTCCCCTGTGTTTCTCAGACCACAGCGTGAAGATCCTAGGAGCTACTTTGAGATGATTTCAACAGTCATCTGAGAGCAGGTGGTCCATCCTCTGGAGGCTTAAAATGATTGGTCTGGGAACCTGCGGATTCAGAACATATGAAAACTGCTTAGCATCAGCTAGTTAGTTAGTTAGTCTCCTTCTAAAATCACTCAAGAGTGAGGTGGATCCTCCAGAAAGATGAGAGAGTCAAACTGGAGATGACTTTAAGCACTCATTCCTACGATGGTCTCCATTAGAAGCCTGATGCCATTGCCTCATCAGCAATGCAAAGCACATCTTAACATGCTGCCCCCCTAAACCAGCCTGCTCAGCTGTGAGCCCCCAAAAGAGCCTGCAATGACAAAAAATAACTAAAAAAAAAAAAAACAAAACAAAAAAACTATTACCAACAGCTCTACACTGGTTTTCTTCTTTCCTGTCCAGCTCAGATACTCCCCACACAAGTTTTCATGGATTGACCCTTCCCAGTCCCCACTGGTATATTTCTTTACAAGTTCATACCGGTTATTTCGTTAAGGAGAGACATACTCTTAGTGAAGGACTATGAATTAGTAGAGAGAAGAGACTGTCTGTGTTTTTAAGAAACCAGTGCTCATTAAGGTAAAGATTTACCGCATGGGATTCAAACTGATTGTAACTTATACTGCAGGCTAAATAATTAGGTCACATCAGGTGCTCCCCTTCTAAAGCAATGAACTACTCTCAGCTCCTGTGCCCACTTAGTTTTCTAACAACATATTTCTCTCAATGAAGCAATCGCTATGACTACACTTCAGTTGAATGAGTTCAATATTGTCCCTTTTAAAAAGTGCTGAGCTCAGCACGAGGCACTACTAAGTTGCCTGGTTTGTTTTTGTCTAATTTCAGTTTAGACATATGGCTAACCATGCCTGAAAAACACGTAATCGTATCCAGGGCAAAACTCATATGATTATGTAGGGAGAGTTCAAGTGTTTCCCTGTTATTTTAAAATAATGTTAAATTGGGATTACACTGTATTATGTTCCTTTTGGACCTTAAATGTCCATGTGCATTTATATCAGCCATTTGGCTGTCACATCCATGCTTACTGCCTCAGTGAGTAGCAGTGAAGGAAACTAGCATATTAGCTCCTGGAACAAATGGGGGCTTTTCTTTTTAAGAAGATAGCTGGGACATAACTTAATACAACTGCTCCCTGTTCTTCTTAATGGAAAGCTAAGTGACATGACAGATGTCATGTCAGGTGACAGATAAATGACTATTAATGATCTTTCAGGCTCCTGAAGTTTTGTAATACAAAAACACATCCCATCTTCTCAGTAAAGTTGTCACTATGTATATTTGAGTGAAAAATACAATATTTTTGAGCAGTGTTAGCATGATATTTTCTATGATAAGTAAAAGTAGCCCATACACAATGACAATATGCACACAGCCATCTGTGCACGCTGCACCCAGGATCAATTGTACATCTCTGCAACTGAAATATATACACAGAACTATGTGACTAGGTAAAGTGGGCACTTAAAGGCATAGATTTTTTTTTTTCAGTATGTGTGATGTACATGCACATATTTTGTGTCATCAGCACTATTTAAACAGACCCAGTGCCCATAAACCCACACGTCTCTACAACATAAAGTTGTATACTTACCCGCACTGAGCTCTCATGGTATAGCTCTGAATTTTTGGCTCCACTTCCCTGTGGAGAGAAATGCATGCAAAAATCTTTGCGGAGCACATCTATTTACATAATGCCTGGTGCATGGGGCGTATGGCAGATTTATGTGCTGTACTTTGCCCACGCACACACCTATGTTGGGCAGGACGCGGGCGCCAGGTAGAGGAATATCTATATAATATACATATCAGCGCATTATGAGCAGCTCATTGAGTCCAGCACAGTGCCCCTCCTGCTGCTTTTGTGCAGTTCATTATAGAAACATACTTGAGTTTGCTCAGTTGCTTATCCCAAAGGCCAACTTTTGATCTTCTCTTGGGAACCTGTCGCACTGCCGTGGTTTCTAGGTACCGCAGCCAATGTGTTTACCAACTCTTTTTCTCTTTCTCGCCCTTTCTATTATGCGTCCCCTTTTTTCTGCCACACAAAGGCTCTGTGCGGTGCTTGTGTGTGGTCCCCAAGAGATGCGGGCCCGGCGAGGAGCCGGTTTTCGGCGAGGCGCTGCGCTGGAGGATCTGTGAACCCGTGCAATTAGCGGTTTAGATCCGGGACCCCACGTGTGGGAGCGGGGCCGGCGGTTGTGCCAGAGCAGTGGGGACAGCCGCCCTCGGGGCGAGTGCACCGACCCCTGGCAGAAGGGTCACAGACAGCCCCCGAGCTCAGGAAAAAACCCCGGGATCAGAGCCGCAATCTGTAGCGGGGTGTCCCCCCGCCCGCCGCCCCGCGCACAACACACGGATTCAGAAAGGGATCATTTGGAAAGCATTTGCAAACATATGGGTCGTTTTTAAGTCAAGACTCCTTTAATTCACTGTGTTTCCTAGTTTTTCCTTTTTTTTTTTTTTTTTTTTTTTTTTGAGCGGGGAGGAGTTTGAGCGAGGTTTTGGGGGGAGTTGTTTGGGGTTGTTTTGTTTGGGGGGGGTGCAGGCTCTGGCTGGAAAAAAAAAGAAAATGAAAAGAAAAGCGGAGGGCTGAGTGGTGGAATAAAGAGCGCAGCAAACCTACCCCAAAGCAGCTTGTTCCCAACTCATGTCCCTTACACGGAGATTAAAAGAACAAACACTCCGCTCTTCTTAATGACGGCATTACCAAGTATAATTAATTAGAAGGGTAGCAAAAGGAATCAGATCCCTGATGCTAATTACTTTCCTAAAAGGATAATATGCTCTTATGTTACTGGTCTAGCTCTACAGAAATATGTCTATTACTGCTACCACTGCTAATAATCGGGTGGTAAAATAAAATGCCCAAGAGATATATATGCTTGTGTTTAATTTGGTGTGTATATATATATACACACACACATGCCTATCGTGATACGCTGTATTTGTGCACTGTGTGTACAACTACACATGGTTATCGCTTCGTGTTTATGTGTCTATACTTGGAGTGTTTCTCCAGACATACATGCTGACAGACAGACAGCCGGGCAGAAAGACAAATATTTAGAGCAACACTTCTCGGCGGTGCTACTGCCAAAGGATGGAAGCAATAAACAAAGGCTCCCCCACCTTTGCCACTCTTGGCCTGTGCAATTAGGTCCGGGTTAGGAGCAGGGCTGTGTTTTCCTTTTCTTGGGCGGAGAAGCGATGGCCCATTAGGCCGGTTCGTGAGGAACTAATGACTGCATGGCATTGATTTGCGGAGGAATTTTTAGCTGCAGATAAAGGTCGGTGTCCTTCAGCCGAAGATGGCTCTCAGCAGGCTGTGCGTATTTTGCTTAGTTTGCTCTGAAGGGCTGCTAAACAAACGGTGGGTTAGCAGCGAAAACACACAGGCTGGGGATTTTCAGCTGAAAACCTGTGGTGCAAAGTTGTTCCGATCATCACTTTACAGAGTGCCTTTCCCGACTCTAAATGACTTTAGTGAGTTACCAAGTGAATTACTGAGATGACTTTAGTGACTTATCAAGTGTCTGTATGGTGCAGGGGGATGTGGCCATTGCCACAAGTTCATCTGCCTGTTCCTCTGCATCTTTTGCCCACCTCCTTGTGTGCATGCGTACACAGATGTGATGGACCCGTGGATGTGCACCTACTACTGAAGCCCATCCCTCTGTGCACTTACACCCCTGTATGTATCTCTGGGCGTGCATACATCTGTTTCACTCCTTGAGCATATTTGTGCCCAGACTGCACGTCTGTGTGCCTAAGTGTGTGTAGGTAGGGCTGGCCTCGTGCATGTTGCCAGCAGGAGAAAACCTTTCTATGTAGCTCCGTGTGTGTCTACTGCAGGTGTGTGCCACATGTATGAGCATAGGCTTGGCATGTTATTTTTAGTCTCCCATCCTTTCAGACAGCTTCCCAAAATATCACTCTTTTTCCCCCATTTCTACCTCCTGATCCTGCCATTCCCCCAGGATTTTCTACGGGACTCAAGGCCTTTGCCCAGTGCTTCTCAGTGAGCAGAAAGCAATAAGTGCAATTTAATGTATTATTTATGAGTGGTGGGAAAGTCTAAGGGGGTTTTAATCTCTGTTTCTCCACTTCCTTCCCAGCTGAAAACCATTTCACCTCCCTTCCCAGATATTCAGCTCCAGTGTGCTCCCCCGCCCCACTCCCATCTGCGCCTTATTTGTACAAATGTTCCCGTGTCTTTAGAAATCATCTTCAAAAAAAAAAAAAAAAAGAGAAAAAGAAAAAGAAAAGAAACCCCCTTGCCAAACCCATATTGTACTTAAACATTTGTGAAGATTTTGTTTCTCTCAATATGGTAGCGAGAGGGGGCTCCGGGAGGGGCTTTCTTGGAGAAATGTCTCATTCAGTCTGCTGAACCCCCTCCTTGAAGTTTCTTTTCAAGGCTGTTGGAAAGTTGGGCAAACTGAAAAGCAAAACAATAATTAGAGATAATTGCTTGTGTCCAAACACAGGCATCAAAGCCTCGGGGGTCTCATTTGTGATGGGCCTTGGTGTGTGATCCAAAAAAAAAAAAAAAGGAGGAAAAAAAAAGTAAAAAAAAAAAAAAAGGTGACCCTTATTTTATTTATTGAGTGGGGGAACAGAGAGAAAGTGCCAGATGGAAGGACCTCAGAGCAATCTCCAACGGCTCAGCCCTGCCTGCTTGGGCGAACAGGCACTGAGGCCAGGATAAAAGGGATAGAAAGCAGGGTCAGGAGAGGTTGCATAATTACTAGGGTGGAGGTAAAAGGGGTGAGGGGGGAGACGACAGGGGTTGTCTCTGGCCCCGCTGTGGAGATCTGAGCAGCCCCCCCAGCTCCATGTGGCTGGTGACACCCCTGGTACTCGGCGGGCCAGGGTAGGTACCAGGGATGCTGCAGGGTGCCACCCACACCAGGGCCCTTTTGAGGGAGTGGGGGGCAGGAGCCCAGATTTTCAGGAGGCTGAGCTAGCCCCCTCTCCTTCCCTCTGAGCTGGATCCTTAGTGTGGATCCAAGTGGACTCAGTCTGCCCCAAATTCCTCCCTGTTTGGATGCACTTCTGAAGTGTGAGTGTGGCAACCCCCAGGTTACCCACAGCATGGGCAGAGCTGGATCCCTGGTGGTTTTATTGTCAGTCAGAGGAAAGGAATAAGGGGAAAAGGATGTAGAAAGGGATGGGGAGTGATATAAAAGAAACCACCAGAACCATTGTAACAGACTCATTCCCTAGGCCTTGCTGGGAAGATGCATTTCCCTGGCTGCGAACGATGCTGGAAGGGGTCTTGGCAGGGGTGGGGGCACCAGATGTAGCAGGACTGGACCCTTTTCAAGGAGGCAACAGATGAGGGTGAAGGAATAAGGGGGGAGCATTCCCACAGAAGAAGGATTACAGGGGTCTCTCCTCTGATTTTCAGAGGCACTGATTTACATGAAGAGGTGTAGCCAAGTTTCTCCTCACCCTGCCGGTCCCTCGGTAATGGGGTTGTAACGACCTAAACGAGTTGCTGATTAGGGACAATAAATCTGCCTCTTCATCAGGGCTGTCCCTCACCGGGGGGGGAGGGGGGGGTGACGAGGACCCGCCCGTCCCG